ACAGATGAACGAAAAACAGGCACTCAAATACAATGAAACGGTGTGTTTTTGGGTTTCTACGTGCTTTACGTGTTTGCACAGAACACGACGCCCTTCAGGGTTTTAACGATTAATTGCGACTGCTGCACCTATTTTATCCCGTTGACAGATCCTCCAATTTTATACACTAGAATCGTTTTAGTCAAACGCCAATGGGATTTTCAAATTATGCGATGTACATCTGCCTATATTTTCTTGGCAAATGCTTTCAATGTCCAACAAAGCGGATCTGGTTAATTTGATGCTGGAAGCTTCGATTTCTGCGATGCCCGTTGGCGCTATTGGTTTTTTTCTTGCGGACACTTTAAAAGCACTCGCTAGGGGACATGGATGATCGGGTTAAACTAATTGGGCTTCGCAGAGAAAAACATCCTGAGCATACCAATAAATTCCATAAATGGAGTGTCCGAGATTCGCTCCATTCACTTTGCTTACAGAATTCTCGTTTGGAAGCGTTGCAGTTTCACTGCAAGTTCTCTAGCCCTTTGCCTCGTACTCACCTAAGACGCTTTGAAAGTTATCACAGCAACAAGATCGAATTGAGGTTCACGTCCTTTATCATGCTTAATGGCTGCTGGCAGTTTCGATGTCCCTGCTGCAATCTGTCAAAGTGTTTTGCATTGCTAGCAGCCAGAAAACTGCAATCATGCTGCTTCTCTCACAATATATGCTCAGGGCAAATTGAAGTCCACGCCCGTTGTGTTACCCGTGGTGACAATGATGGTTATAAAGGCGGCAATGGTTTGATGAGGTGCTAGTGAAGGAGGAGAGCGGAAGTACAGAAAGGGAACCCTCCTTACGGATAGATGGAGACTAGTGTGGCCATTTCTGGCCCATCAGGCATCATCAGCCAGCCACACCCAACCTCAGGTGATGCACCAATTTGTCGGCAGAGTTCATCAGCCTATAGTACTAGCCACTGTGCGGCTGCCGGCGGTGGGTCTCTATAGTGAGCTGTAGGGTAGAACTCTCGATGGAGCCCCACACCGATCTGTGAGTGTTCACCAACTAACGTCAATCTTTCCTAGCTAAACCAGCAACAGAACCAGCCTGTGGTTAGACCGTTGGGTTTCTAATCCACAGGTCGTAGATTCAGGCCTTGTGTGGGGCACCACCTGGGATTGGGTTTGATTTGCTGATGACGGCTAGTGAGCCAGAACTGGCCATTCCAGTTTCCGTTGTCTCTGTCGGCAATCTTCATCTGCATATAGCACTTGCCGCTGTGCGGCTGCCCGAGGGGGTCGAGAGTAAGCACGAAGGGGGAACAAGGTGAATGAGTTCCGCAGTTAATCGATGCGCCAAGAATTAATTAAAACCTGGTTACTGGGTGGGAAACCAACCGATTGATGTATCGATTTGGCGCCAGCGTAAAAAGCCCTGTGCAGTCAATTACAGCCGTGCCTTCATTGGTTTACACTCCCTATACTTGTCGCCTAGTTTGTTGCTGTTGTATGAGTTTGAAAGCTCAGAACAGTAAGCAAACCGTTCTGATGCTCGACCAGCCTTCTCCTTTACTCATGCAAACACCTGGAATGCAAAGCGTTGCAGTTATTCGTAATCGGTGAGCGTTTATCAACCAAAACCATAATCTGCGTTTGACCCCCTATACAGGCCAATGACGTGCGCTACGGTTGTTACTTGAACCAAATCGCCCAGGAGGAGGTGGCCGCGGACCAGATGAGGGCACAGGAAGCCCAGAAGAGACGCGAGGAATTCAAGGCCGATATGCAACAGCAGGCGGAAACTCGCGAACAGCGACGTCTGGAGGCCTACAAGGAGTTTCTGCGCGATAAAATGCTCATCGATGAGGTTGTCCGAAAGATTCATGAAGAAGACCAACGGTGAGTGACACC